GCTGCTGCTGCTGCTGCTGCTGCTGCTGCTGCTGCTGCTGCTGCTGCGCTGCCGCCGCCTCCTCCGAGCGCCCTCAGCTAGTCCGGTCCTGGGCAGCCGCGCGTGCCGCCCTCTCAAACCCCCAGGCCCCGCCCCCCGCCTCGCGCCCTTTTTTTCAAACACAGCAGGCGTCCTCATTGGCTGGCTCGGAGCGCAGGCGGTAGGCGTCGGCACTGGGCAGGAGCGGCTCGCGAGGGCCTCCCCGCGGCGCCGGGCCCTCTGATTGGGCGCGTGAAGACGCGAATTCGAATGGGAGCGGTTGACTGGCCAGGAGCTCTGGCCTCTCTGCACAGCTGCAGTCGAGGGCTCAGGATGGGGCGGGGCGGGACGAGAAGGGGGGGGCCGAAATTGACCAGGAGCCTTCGCTTTTACCTTCGTAGACTGAGCCTCTCTTCTGCTCCCTTCGCTCGTGCAACCTCTCCGGGCTAAGCGCTCTGGCGTTGGAGTCGCCTTAACGCGATGACCTTGGCCCAGCTTCCGCACCTCAGGAGGCCTCAGTGTCCCCCGTAAAGGCCTCTTGCAGCTCCTAACAAAATTCTCCCCTTGACCCTTGACCCCACTGCCCCCATACTGCCAAACCATTCTGTCCAATCTTCAATCACTGGCCCCTTCCTCTAAATCTGGACCTGAGCAGGCCTCCCCCAAATCCCTAAAAGTCCACCCATCTTCTTTCCCTCCAGCTCCAAAAAGAGTGGTCTGCTTTAGCTGCCTCTACTGCCTCATCTCTCATCAACCCCTTGTAACCTGGCTTTTGCCACTCTACTGAAACTGCTCTGAAGGGTTTCAAATGACCTTTAGCAAAGGTCATTTTTCTCAGTCCTCAATGATTTCCTTGACTTCTGTGTTCAGCATTGTTGGGCTCCCCCCTCCTCTCCTGGCGTCAGGGTCTTCGTTTTTCTTTGACTTGGTCTCTTCATTAATTTGAAGTCATCTCGGATCTTCTTAATAGGTTATCCCTTTCTCAAGAACACAACCTTGAGGTGAAACGAATTGCCCTTGATGCCATTCCATGGATCAGATGACTTTTAGCATTCTATTTCCACCACAATTTTATTTTATCATCTATGTCATGTATGCTAATGATTGACTTGCCTTCTAGGCCATGAAGACAGTATTCCCTGGAAATCCCGGAGGGGCTAGCAGGAAATATTACCAAGTATTTATAGGCCAGTCTTCTGAGTGACATGCCAAATGTCCCTTTACTATCAGTAAATAGAAATCTTTAGTCAATTTGGAGTTGAAGGATCCTAAGACGTTTTCCAGCTTCCATGTTATAGTGGGAAATTACAACAGATGGTACCTAAGCCTTTACTTGGAAAAAAACAACTGCTGAAAGCTGCAACATCAGGACAGACTTCTTTGATTGGTTTAAATGACATGTACTGCAAAACACAAACATAGGCATGTTGGACATGCAGTCACTCATCTCACAAACCCTTACTGACAGGGTTTGTGATGAGCTATTGTGAAGGAGAGACAGATGAATGGAACAAAATCCCTGTCCTGGGAAGTTCTTAATCTGGTAGATCATACATAAATCATTTCATTGGATCCTCCTAACAACCCTAGGAGGCAGGCACTATCTCCATTTTACAGATGAGAAAAATCGAGGCTAAGAGAGGTCAAGTGACTTGCCTAGGGTCACACAGCTAGTAAGTATCTGAGGCAGGATTTAAACTCGGGTCTTTCTGACTCCAGATTCAACGCTAGCCACCTAGCTGGTTCAAGGATATAAGACATAATTCCATATAAGATATGAGCAGGACAAGAGGAGATATACAAAGTGATAGGGTTGGCAAAGGAGGGAAAGATCATTTCCAGCAGGGAAGATGAGAAGAGACTTCATTGGGAAATATTCTGTTCAATTCCATAAACTTTAAGCACTTTGTACTAAGCATTGGATACAGAGACAAAAACCACCCCCTTCCCTCTGGAGGAAGGGAGATGAACTATGGTTAGAGCAGCAAAGAGGCAAGAAGTGTCCCTTGAAAGGAAAGAAGTGCTTCCAGAGGAAAATAAAGGAAAAAGAATTAGTCCAAGAGGAGTTCAAACTTGTGTCAGGAGGTTGGAGGGTGGAAGGTGACATCGAAGAAAGAGGAGGAGGGCTGATGAATCCTTGGAATCATACACCAGGTCTGAGCTTCTGCAGAAGCAGCTTGTCTAGCTCCAGAGAATAATGAGGAGCCTCTGGAGTCATCAGGAGACAAGACCATGGCATAGTCCCAGAACAGAGTCATCACAATTATTGACTCCCTGCCAAGAGGTGTTGAGGTGGCTGTACTTAAGTCAACTTGATGTGAGTAGTTGAATTATGCTGACTTCTTCTAGTGTCTATCTGGAACATTATGAAAAGCCTCCTGAGACATTGTCAGACTGGAGAATCACTACACGCTTTGGATGATTCATTCATGTGAAAGCCTGGAGAACATTTTTAGGGATTAATGGAATCCCAGACTAAGAACTTGAGATCTTAGGTGAACAGATGGCATTTTTCATTACTGCTGAATTAAAGGTAAGGGTTTCAAAAGAAAGGGGGAGGGCTTGAGAAGTACACAGGTGGTTAATAAGATGGTACCATAGGTAGAGCAACCTTGGAATCAATATTTTTATTGTATACTTTTAACAAACCTGCACATGATAAGAGAGTTATAGTTTTATTTTGTTCTTTGTATGTAGAAATGTTCATGTTTGTTAGAGTTTGTCAATTTCAGAATAACAAATGAAAATGTTAAAACAGAAAAAAAAATTAGAGAATGTGAGAGAACAAGATTTGGATTACTGGACCATGAGTTTAAATACTGTTATGAGAGGTTTTTGGCTAGTGATAGATTACTTAAGATGAGAGCCAGTAAAAATATTTTTTTTTTACTAGAGACTTGCAGATATGATCACGTGTACTTTAAAGTAGAAATGGAGGGGGAGGAAGAAAATATAGAGAGTGGCTGGTATGACATAGGAAGAAGACCCAGTGGAGGGGACCAGTAATTCACATATAACACCTTCTCGCTCTGTAACTGCCACATCTCTTACTTCAAAGTCTAGCTGGAGTAGTAAGGAAGTAAAGTGATGCAAAGGTAGCAGAGAAAGTTATGAAAGGGAGTGAAAAGGACGCAGGGACTTGCTGGGGCTGGCTGCCAATTCTCCTCACTCTGTGATGGGTTAGCTGTGGCCAGACCAGGCCAGAAGCTCCTGCCAGTTACTAGACAGCAAAGACAGGGAAGTACCATACTTCCTGAATTTGTACTTTGTACAATTCATGCCTTGAGTGAGCCAGGACCCTGACTCCAGAATTTTTACATATTTACCTGATGATCAGGCATAAGGGAAGTGTGAGTCAAATATCCTATGGAAGCTGTGTTGTTGTACTCCTGACTCTATTTATGGGAGGACTTAAACAATATATCCTACAACTCCTGGGTCCAAATCAATCTTATGTCCGGGGGATTTCCCAGGTCTCGGAGAGCCGTGGACTTAACAGCCACTTGGTAGATGTTCATTATTATGCAGTCCCCTTGTTATTAAGTAGTATTCATTTACTTATTTATTCTATGCCAAGAATAAATGCACTTTATGAAGCATTCCAACTTGTGTATCTCAAGTGGGGAGCCAGCTCCATTATGCCAAGGTCATATGACTAGTACCCATTGAAATGCAGAATGTTCAAAAGGAGGCAGGGTCTCAAAACTTATTTTGATTGGGTAGATCCATGAAACCACCTACCCTTATACAATGAGTGGCCCTGCTGTGTAGCAAACAGGAGGGTTAAGGGATGGAAGGGCTTGGATTCTCTGGTAACTGTAGTACTCAATATTTCTGCAGGACATTTGTAAACTGCCAGATTGAATGTGGGATTTCCCTAATGAATTAGTTATTAGTGCCACGAGAGTGGTTAAACAGGAGAAGATATTCAAGAAGAGGGCTAAAATAATAACAAAAACCTCAGACAGCTATACACAAATGCATAGAATATAGAGAATAAAGCTATATTTGCTGTTTGTCCTTTGTTTTAGAACAGGAGTAATGATATCATGGTGATGTCTTAATTCATGTGTGAACTGGATTTAAGTGAGGCAGAGCTGCACAAAGTCGTCAACCTCACTGTCTCCCACAACCATCAGAGCCCAGTGGCAAGACAAGAGTTAAGATGACTGGTGATGGCCTGGGCTGCAGTGGATGACCTTGGCATCTTTGATGTCTGACCAAACTCGAAGCATTCCGCAGCACCTGCTTTAGCCACCTTCATGGCTGTTGGAACAAATTGCTCTCATATGCCCAACACTATTTGAGATTTTAATGGAAGGAGGTCATTTAACCTCATTGATATGATTTGGTAGAATGTGACTTATTACTAGACTCAAAACTGCCATAGATAAAAGTCTAATGGAGTAGCTTTGGATATTTAGAAAATATACTGATGTGAGGAAGTTCAAGAGCTGGAATGGGGAAATCCTGCTGATTTTAACATTTGGATATTCAGAAAACATACTTATTGGACTAGGGAAACCTGGCCACCACTGATAGTAAAGATATAGGTGTTTACTTTGGGGGAAATAGAGGAAGTAAATGATAAGTGCTGGAAAGAAAGCGTATCATATTGTGTCAAAGGGAAACTCCAACTGTCTAGGCATGTGTTGGTGTTCCCTCTCTGCTAAAAGTTAAAAATGAAATCTCTGCTTCCTCAAAATTCTGACGTTCCCCAATTTGGAGGCCATCTGCCTTAATGAAAATTTCATCCTTCAAAAAATGGAGGAAATGCTAAATGTGACTTGGTTTTAACCAGTAATTACTGGAGGAGCTAGATACTAAATTAGAAATGATGGGAAGCTTGGCTTGAAATGTCTCTGGCATGTCAGAGTTTGTGATAGATATGGAGAGAAGGGTTGGCCATCGTGTATCCAAGATTTTTGGA